ATAAGAGTGCCCCACAAGGTGTCCTACAGGAGTATCCCACAAGAGTGTCCTACAAGAGTGTCCCACAAGAGTGTCTCACAAGAATGTCCCACAAGAGTGTCCCGCAGAGTGTCCCACAAGAGTGTCCTACAAGAGTGTCGTACAGGAGTGTCCTACAAGAGTGTCCCACAAGAGTGTCCCACAAGAGTGTCCTATAAGAGTGTCCCACAAGAGTGTCCCACAAGAGTGCCCCACAAGAGTTTCCGACAAGAGTGTCCTACAAGAGTGTCCTACAGGAGTGTCCCACAAGAGTGTAGTGTCGTGTAAGAGTGTCCCACAAGAGTGTCCTGCAAGTGACCCACAAGAGTGTTCTACAAGAGTGTCTCACAAGAGTGTCCCACAAGAGTGTCCTACAAGAGTGTCCCACAAGAGTGTCCCACCAGAGTGTCCCACAAGAGTGTCCCACAAGAGTGTCCTATAAGAGTGTCCCACAAGAGTGTCCTACAAGAGTGTCCCACAAGAGTTTCCTACAAGAGTGGCCCACAAGAGTGTGCTACAAGAGTGTCCTACAGAGTGTCCCGCAAGAGTGTCCTACAAGAGTGTCCTTTGGACATATTAGTTTTTCGATCGTGTGTGCATTCGGGTTCGTGGGTTCCATCTTGTTTAATTTACTTGGTTGCCTGAAACTGATTAGACCCATGGCGCTCTCCTGAAATTGACACCCCAAGCCGAGTGGCGTAGGCTAGAGCTGCACCATTTCGTTGCACTGCTGCAAGGATAAAGAGGCGGTCTTTGGCCAAGCCCTGAAGACATTGAAAGCATTTGAAATGGATTCAGTTTTTACAAAGGGAACCTAATAGCGATGGCCTCCAACCCAAAATCTAGTGGAGGATCCTTTATGAGTTTTGCAGCTGTGAACACCTGCATACATGCTGTACCAAATGTCACCCAGCCTCGTCAACCTTTTTCAACACCTGACTGCTGCTTTGCACGGCGGAGAGCACTACCTGCCAGAATGATCAACTGCTCTGTCTGATGTTGCAATCTCCTTATGCACTATGTGGTCGTCATTCAGGGACATGACGTTCCGTTGCCCCCCGGCTCACTTCCTCCGCTGGGCTCACCACTCATTCGCTGAATGATGGCGTTAGTTATAGATTATAGTGATTTGCTGGATCTCCAGGAAATTTGCCGGCAAACAGCCCGGTCTCAAATGCAAGCGTTTTCTTCGTGCAAACTGTCAACTGGTTGTGCGAATCCTGACACACTCCCAGCCCAGCGCTCCTCTCGGTCGGAGCGAAGCTCTTCTGGAACAAAGTTCAATGCGGAACTGTTCCTGCCACGGGCATAGGTCGGGACCAGTGTAAGCAACATAAGCAAGCATGAATCCAGGTGAGCACTTAGTAAATCCATCGGCTCAAGAAATCAAGCCCGCCAAATCCATTGGTGTTAATAAACTATCAGGTTGGAGGCCATCGCTCATCCTGTCCCTGACTCATCCTGACTCTTGCGCCGAGCTGATCAGATGATCTCGCAGTCCTCCGCACTGCTTCAATGACAAAGTCTTTGCTATGTCGAAGCTTCGCACTCGCAAACCAAAGTGCCATTCCTGTCACCTGAAAGATTGAGCTTGAGCTGACTGGTTGTTTGCGTGCGGGAACACTTTTGGATTCTTCTCAAAAAAATCTCAACAATGGAGAAACACGCACACCAAACAAAGCTGTCAAGAAAAGGGCCGCCCAAAGAACCCCCCTCACCTCGATTGCCTTCATCACAAAATCCTTCTGATGCCAAAAGTCCTCCTGTACATATTGCAAAGATGCGGGATTTGCTTCGGCAGCCAGTAGCACAAAGGCCATATCAGCTTGCAAACACTGCGCAGCATAGCATAGAGCTACTCCATCACTTTCTATTGCAACTAGAACAAGTTCGCGATCCCGGCGAACTTCCTCCGCTGCATGTTTGAGAACTCCTGGCACTTTCAAGGCATCCTTGAGGAATCGTCTGTTCTCTTTCAAGTGCTCGGCCGCATAAGGCAGTGCTGCACTGTTCTGCTGCAAAGCTCTTTGAACGAAGCTAGCATCTGATCTGAGGCTCTCTGTGGCAAATCCTAAGGTCATTTCATCTTTTTTCACTGCAGCCAGCACCAACTCAGGATCACATCGGAATTCCTCCTCGGCATACCGCAGGGCTCCAGGATTCAGTTGCACCGCCAGCAGCACAAAGTCTCGATCGAGCAGGAGCTGTTCCGAGACGTAACGCAAGGCCAAGCCACTGCGCTGGATGGCATCTAAGGCGAAGCTTCGATCTCGGCGAAGCTCCAAATCGGCATAGCACAAGGCGGTGCCATTGAGTTCCACAGCCGACAAGATGAAATTCCGATCACTCCGAAGCTCAGTGGAGGCGTAGCAAAGGGCAGTTCCATTGCGACCTGTCCCGACTGTTACTACGGATTGAAATCACCATCTTATAAATCAAACGCTGGTGCTGAAACGCCCTGCCTATAGCCTGCAAAACGAAGTCCCGATTACATTTCCACTCATCTCCAACATGACAGAGCACATCGCAGCTCCGCTCAATGGCCGTCAGCAAGAAGTCGCGATCACTTCGAAGCCGGTCAGATGCGTACCGAAAGGCACTGCCATTTGCTTTCACAGCAGTAAGCACCAGCTCAGGATCTCCTCTGTAGCTTTCCTCCAAGTGAGTTAGAGAGCCACCAACAGCTACATGCTCGAGTGCAGCTGTACGTTCTGCATCCGCACGGATGAGCTCCACAGTAGTGGTCTTGTTTGCACCCCCCGGCAAGAAGTCCATGAGTCGTTGATTTTCTTTCTGTGTCCAAGCCTTCCCACCAATCTGCAGCTTTTGTTCATGCGTAGGGATGCCCGAGGCAGAAAGGATGGCTTCCTTGAGCTCCTCGTCATGGTTTTCTCAGAGCAAACACACATACTGGGTTTTGCGACAAAGGATCCCTTTTGTGGATTTGCTTGAATGAAAAGAAACTTGGCGGCCTTGAACAAAGAAACAAGGCTTGGTCCTGCACACACCAACCACCATCTGCCTCCACTGTGCAAAGCAAATCGCCAGTGATGGCCCCCACTACTTGGATCGAAATATGGGAAGGCAGTGGAAGTTGCTCATCCATGCTTTGGTCAAGCAGGGCTCATTCCATGAACGCGGGACATCATGGGTGGAAGGGCACTATTCGCTATGAGTGAAGCTTGCCAGGTTGTTGACTAGAAATGAAGGAGCAGGTGGACTCGCATCTAAATAGATGTTGCATAAGCCTTCACTACGACCCTACCTTTTGAACCACATCTGGACAGATTGGAATGGCCCCTTCGGTCTCTCAATGTGCGACTTCGCAAGTTTCGGTCGTCGAGCTCAGACAGCGTCACAAGGGCGAGAAGTTCACCCCGTCGTTTTCTTTACAAATTAATCAAACAGAGTGCTGGAGGGCCGTTCGTAGCGTCCTTGCTCCTAGTAGCGATGCCAGGAGCCCCTAGTAGCGTCCTTGCTCCTAGTAGTAAGGCCAGGAGCCCCTAGTAGCGTCCTTGTTCCTAGTATTGAATGTCTCAAGTCATTCTCTTTTGCTGTGCTCAGAGAAGTGCGAACTAATCTGGCTCCAAGCAAACTTTTTCTGCTCAAAAGATTGACTCCTCAGCCTTTGCCTTAGAGTGCTGCCATTAGACCGCCGCACTCCACGGCACTTCCAAGGTCTGGACAGGAGTAGATGTGCTGGTGTCCTGCTGTATAACATGCACCAGCCAAATGCCCAGTGCTGAAACCCATTCCGGCAGAACCAAAAAAATGCGGGTGTTGATCCAACTACTAGGTTTGAAGGCGCACAAGTGCAGCCACATATATTATATATATATACTGTGTATATATATACACATAAATATATGTCAATAAGGATAACTCTTCTGGCACGCTCTTCTTATTGGCAGGGCCTCCTCGCTTGGAGGCGCCTCGTTTAGGGAGGCCATTCTAGCAGCACGCCTAGCAAATGGCCAAGTTGGCTTTTGTCGTTCCCTCTCAATTCCACAAGCATTTCGGTCACTCACATTGCCAAGCTTGGACCCAACGAATTCCAGCTCAAGCAGCGCAACGTCCATGCAAAATGCTTTGAAACAAACATTCACGTTTGGTAGCTCCGTACCCTTGCGCCTCTTGGCCCTCTCTGCTTCTCGCTTTCTGTCCAATTCGGCCTCGTTCTCACGAAGGCTCCCGATAAGAATCAAATTGAATTTAGCTTGCTTCAATTTGTATCGCCGCGTGCTTCAATCAACGTTGCAGGATCATACCAAACGCGCAAATGCAAGGCAAAGCTGCCCAAATCCTCTGCTGCTCGTCCCATTCAGCCTCTAAGCGCCTGCCATAGGAAATTTTTCAGGTCAAGTATAGAATTACCATTCAAGCCATGTGCGAGAATATCATCGTCAATATTGTCTCTTTTCTTGCATGCAAGCAAAATCAAATGACAATGTATAAAAGCAATATATATATATATTGCAGTTCTTATATCGTATCATAGGGAGAGGTCTCGGAGAGGTCCATGGTTGTCCATCTTTACGCCGCAAATCTGAAAAGCCGAACCGTCGGTAGGCAATGGCCAGCTCTTTGGAGCGGTCAAACCTTATACCAAAGCAATGATCCACAGCCACATCGGCCACATCGCTTAAGTTTTGGCTTTATGCATTTTCCGCTGCAAATGTTCTATGATGTTTTGCTGAACAAAAATCTGAGGGTTGACCCTCTCACACCAATGTCATATTCACTCACCAGGCTTTTAGAGCAAAATTGTGGATCCCAGCCTGAACTCCACCTCCAACTGAGCACAGAATGGGACCAGCTGTCGTTTTCATTGACTTAGACTTGAGACTCGGTCCCATAGATTGCCACCCTGAAGTAGCAGCTGCACCTAAGACAGCCCCACTGAAACACATAACATCTTCAGTTGGAATGCTCAGCTTCTGGATCTTCATTCCAACGAGTGTCCATCATTACTACCACGCGTATTTCCCTGAGAACCACGCTTTACAAAGAAGTTATGTTCGAAATCTTTCCTGTGGAAGAGTACTCTCCATCCACCTCGGGCTCAAACTTTGTGCTCAAAGCGCTTCGACAAGTAAGGACACTTGAGAACAACAGCATGTTGTCCATTGTTGTCCCAAACCAGCTCATTTTCTTATTCTAGATCCCATTGTGAAACATCCTCATGAAAGCCAAAAGTTGGAATGCCTTCATCCTCATTGGCTTGTATTCTCGGTGCTGGAGGCACTTCAGTCTTGCGCGACCTCTTCAAAGGTCTCTCCAACTCAGATGGGAGCATGCCGTTCTGGCTGACGGCTCCATCGTTCGTTGTCTTCGGTTTGGGCACGAAGGCCACCGGCTGCTCTTGCATAAGCTTGAAGCGGTCGGTGATCACGGGGTGCGCTGGATCGATCAACAGGGGGCACAGCATGGAGACTTCAGCTGGAGACCTTGACACCATGAGGTGGCATACACAGTGGTAGCCATGATGGAACAAGTTCCGCAAGACCGGCATCCTGAGGGCTCATACGGGCTCAGGTGACCTTGTACATGCTTTTGTCATGCTGTTGCCATTCAGTGATGCAACTCATCCATGGCTCAAAACACAACTGAACCATCAGAAGAAAGAACTGAAACTCATCGCTTGATCAACAACATCAGTATAAAATGTGTCTCTACAAATCTCTACAGAAGTGCTTTTGTCTGCTTGAGAAGCCGCAAACAGAGCGCCTGAAGCACGCAGCTCCCAGATCCATGGAGGTTGACAGTGGAGACTCCAAGCAAAGCTGCACACCTGGACGGTCCTGACGTTTGGCTTTCTCTGGGAAGCGATCTGCTTTGGAGAAAGTGGCGCCGCCTACGGGACCGAAACGGAGCTTGTCGGTTGGATCATGAAGAAAAACATATGCAAAGAAGAGTTGCAAGATGCTATAGGGCCGTTGATCATTAAGCCTCATCAAGTCATCAGACCTTGCGACTGATGCACAAGAGCTCTCTCTTTCTCCAGCCTTCCAGCACTGAAATGCCTGTGGAGTAGTTGAAGTCCTGTCAGCGTTCCATGTTCAAATACACCCCCAAAGCCCACTTGGCTTCAACCACTGAACCCTGTCCTGACCATAGTATTTCAAGAAGTCAAACAATAAATGGCCCAAAGAAGTTCCAGCATAGTAGCGCTGATTCTTAAGAGATGGATGCCGTTGCAGAAAGTGAAGTACAACATTGCAGAGGAGATACGAGCCCATGCCACCTGTGTAAGTTTCGTGCAATCCTCGTTGAAGAAGAAAATACTTCAAGAAAAGTAGTAAGGGCTTCATCTGAGGGTACTCTTTCACCTTGGAGCGAATAAACTTGGAGGATGTTATGCCATCCGGTTGGCTGAACACTACATCTGCTCGAAGACCGCATGCTTGGGATCTGACCTTCATCACAGGCACTTTGGCTGTTTCAATAATTTCTAGCCAGCTGATCTGCCCCTTAGAGAGCATATAGTCAGCCAGCATCTTCATGGCAGTACCGGACTTGCATGGCACTTCGGAGACAGCAACATCGACATCACCGTTGGGTAGAGAAAGTCCTGTGAAAAAGGAGCCAAAAACGGAGACCTTGCAAGCAGGCCACATTGCCACACAGGCCTCTTTGATGCTTTGAACCCATTTCTTTCGAGCTTGAACTTCCTCCCGGGTGTGCTGCATGAAATCCACGAAGTCCAAAATCTCTTCATGGAGACGAAGCACGGAGTTTTCAATGTGTGGTCGAGGAACAAACCATGGCGGTTGTCCTTCATCCACCATCTTTGCTCTCATGGCTTTCGCCTTCACTGCCATGAAGGCTTCAGGTGCTTCGGCCTCAGGTACTTTGTCCTTGGCTTCCGCTTCCCGGCGTCGTTTCAGCATGGATCTCATCGAAGCATTTCGCTCGGCTTGTTCTGCGTTCCTCTCCGCGTCCTCCTCTTGGATAGCGGCATCCTCCTCCCGGAGCCATCCACTGGAGCTACCCTCAAACTCGGTTTCCATGGGGAACTACGCAAAGGACACCTAAACGGAACCGAAACGGACTACGCTCCAGACTTCCTTGAGCATGGGCCAAGACCAGCTCAAGCGAAACTCTTGCCGCACTTGACGCTAACCAAAATTCATCAAAATTCAACCCTTTGTGCTGAATAAGATCTGGACCACAAGCATGCCAGCGCACGCCCTGGGGCTGCAGCAATACTTGAGCTTTTTTGAACCCTTTGCTCGACCGAACATGTAAGACAGGGATTATGATTGAAGTACAGGTTAGATCACTATCATCATCTACCACGTCTTAAGGGCAATTGTCGTGTCAAGCAGTGTTGATCTATCAACGATTTCTAATTGCACTTGGGCCGTATTGCTCTCGTGCTCGTGATGCTCAGAGGCTTTTGAGAGGTGGCAATGTAGCACCTGGAATCAAGGTAAATACATATATTATTATATGTATTTTTTGTCGCCAGCTCAAAAGGGCTCCAGGAGTTGTAGTTTGAAAATGCTTGAAGTTGATCTCTTTTGAAGTGATGTTATTTGTTTAACTTTTCTTTGTAAGCGAAGACCTTGGGAGGCCACCTCACCACTGATCACACTTGTCACATAAATTGCTATATAATACGATCTAATACGCCATAGTAGCATATGTCCATTGATGTGGAGATTTTATCATACTTTATCTGCAATTAGTCTGTAGTTCATCTTTTTTATAAATGTTGTTAGGTGTTTCTTGTCGTTTCTTCGTGGAACCGACTCCTTGACATCACACTTGTAGCGCTCCCAGTCGATGGATCCGGCTAACCGCTGGGCCTTAGGCAGCTGAGTCCCACAAGTTCTGGATAACCTGCTTTGGTAGTAGAAAATGTATATAGTATATAAATATAGGAAGAAGAACTCAACAGTGTGCCTGAATTTGATTGTCAACTTATCAACCTTTCAAAACAGTCATGAAACTTTCACTCCGCATCTGCAACCTAGCCTTTTCAAGCTCAGATCATTCCTGGCCTCAACCGTTCTTGTGGAGAGCACTCTCCGAATGGGCCCGGAAGCCAGGAGCGAAAGTGGCAGGGGCTGGTACCCCTGCAGAACGGCCGTATCGACCACGTGACCAAGGATGAAAGGGATACTGTACTCCAAAGTCATACAGTTGTTCCGAGAGTCTTGGCAGAAGAGCTCAAATGCTCTGGCTTCTAGCTTCTATCAAGTTCTGTGAATCCATATACACAGTCAGTAATATATATAATTAATGACAAATGTGCACTGTGAAAGATCTCCTGAGGTAGGGATGCCGGCCTCAGGTTTCGGCTCATAGTGGGTCTCCTTCTTTTGCAAGATGCGGCCACGTGATCGCCGCCGCTGCCGCACTCGCTTGGTGCCGAAGGCACGAAGCGACGAAAGCGGAAGCACGGCGGCGCCCTCCACCTGGCTCGCTGCCTCAGCTTCGTGACATGCTCCGGTCTCGTCACAATCAGACTGTGAGCCCATTTGTTTGTATGATTGGAGAGGAACAATGCTTTCCTTTACAAAGAGCCCGCTGTCACTGCAAGTTCCAGGTTTTTGCCTTTCTGAGAGCTTCCACCAGGCGAGGAAAGCATGAGCGCAGGGCGGACCACATTGCGCGCCGATGGCTTGGCTTGGAAATGTTTGTGAATTGAAGAACATTCTGCCAGCGTCATTTACTCTCAGCAATGGACCATCTCTCAATCTTCAAGTGAGTACTTTTTCCAGAAGACGAAAGCTAAGTCGTGCACAATTATTCAGCATGTGTGAGCAAAAGGGCTGCTTCATCTTCCGGTCAGCAGCTAAGAGTGACAGTGAAGCACTTCAAAGCATGATCATATCGGAAGCTTTTGCAGACAGACATCCTTCAGATCTGCCTCTGGTGATACAAAACACCTCGCTCTATCCTTGGGCTCCTGCCCACTTCGACAACTGGAATTTAATTTGCTGTTTGTTGATAGCTAGGCATGGAGCAAGGGTGTGAGACAAGCTCGCGAAACTGCATTAGCCAAACATCTACCTTGAAGCCCACTTTGTACGGGCCCAAGTCTCAAAAAGCCGTAGAGTCATGGTCGTGATCTCTCCGCCGCAGTGGTGATCGTGATTCCGGGATGTTCACGTCAGTCCGCGGTTGCTTGTGCCTTTGCACTTTGAGGAACAAACCATTGCCGAATGGGACAAGCCAGCCACAAAGCTGATCAAACCGTGCTGTCTGAGGCAAGAACTTTCGCAGCTCTCTATTCTCCTCATCTGGTTCCGGCAGAATCCTGCAAACAAAAAATGGTGGGAAGCGCACTTCATCAGCCTTTTATCTGCACGGGCATGCAGGGGCTGTGATGATCGCATGCTTCATGCATTGCAATTCGAACGTGCGCTTTCCACCGGCCAGTCGAACCATCGGCACCGAGTGTCCTCTGCTGACTCAAATGATAGAGCTTTGGATCACCAGTAGGCCAACGCGCAACCAAGGGATCATGATGCTGGTGAGCAACCCACCTCAGCCAAAAGGCAAAAAGGAAATGCCACGAATTCCGTGGAGAAACGTGCTGCAAACGAAGAATGACACTGGAAGGGGATCGGTTCTTGTGGTGCGGCGTCTCTTTCAGCGGGCTGCGATACCACAATCCACAACTAACACACTTGGTCTGGTCTAAGACAATACAATGCCATACAATACCCAATATGTTTTGACATTTAAATCTGGCACTCCAACATTCTAAACTGACTAAACATGACTAAACACTTTGAGATCTAGTGCATCATAGTGCATCTTGATCACCAAGCATGCAAAACCAGCGTACAATACCAAGGCTGTTTCACCAAGCTGCTTTTTCTTTCCCAGCATTTCAACGACACAACCATGATTTCGAGTATCATGGATGCGAGCACCGTTCGGGTCCTGGCCCATTGGGTCGATCGTGGATGGCAAACACACATCGTCTAACCCTGAAGGTGAACAAGAAGCTAGTAACAAAGGGCATCCCTACTAGGAGCAAGGACGCTACTAGGGGCTCTAGAAACAAGAAGCTACTAGTAGCAAGGGTGTCTACCGTCTTGGATCTCCACAAGTCATTGAGTATCACGAAGCCATCCAGAAAAGTCACCCAACAAGCCAGCAGCACTTTGGGGTCTTCCCGCAATGTGACTTCGTATTCAATGTGTCGACGCACCTCAGAAAAGAATGCTGGAGATCTCATGGAGATGTAGCGTCTCATGGAAAGCAATTAGATCTCATGGTTGGCCCGGTTGGCGCGTCAAGGTCTAAAGGAAGCGACCTTGCGGCCCCGAGAAGTGTCTTCAATGAGATGCCGCCAGTATGAAGCCTGCAAGGCTTTGGAAGGCTTGGGTCGGGTAATCAAGCAGGATGCTTCGAGTGTTGAGAAACTTATCAAAGATGGGACAAGACATTTCCCCCGTCTATCCTCAGTCATGCCGCCCGAAACTGATGTACTTCCGAGATTGATAGGCTGCATGTACCAAGTGTATAATGTGTATAATATACAGTTCCGGCGTACTATGGGAAGCTCTAGTAACGAGACTAGTATCTGTAGCAAAGCAACAGGGTTGACAGCATGCTGTCAATACTTTTGAGCTCAAAATCCTTTTAGAGGCCTGGACAATGCGCGACTCTTTTCTCTTTTTTCGCCAACTGATGCTTTCGGGTGTGAAACGGTCGAACTCTCACACACACACACAAAGACTACGTGCTACACCAAGACTTGTATCAAATATGTGTAAAATGGTGTTGAACTCAAGGTAAAGAAATCAAATGACCAAAGTGTCGTTGATTTAACTTCTTGGTGAAATGACCTCACTGTGCGTCTTCCGCCTGCCATGAGTGCCCTCTGAGCATCGCCTCAAAAGGTTGTAACACAACCGACCACCCAGTCGTGGGAAACCCACCAAGCAAAAGCAGTTATTCCTACCAAGACATGTCAAGCTAATGTATTGGAAATGCAGGTGTACGACGCTACTAGGGGCTCCTGGCATCGCTACTAGGAGCAAGGACGCTACTAGGGGCTCCTGGCCGTACTACTAGGAGCAAGGACGCTACTAGTAACAAACAAGGGAAGCTTCTTGTTCCTAATAGCTTCTTGTTACTACTAGTAAGGCACTTGTTACTAGTAGCGATGCACTTGTTCCTAATAGACAGGAACAACTCTGGGAACGGATGTCAAGTCACGTCAAGCGGGCGCAAACCAGTGCTCTATCAGCCATCATGAGCTATCTGGGCGCTTTCGGCTTGTCCTCTTCGGGTTCTTCCTCCTTCAAAGTACATGAAGGTCTGCAAAGCACGTCAAAGGAGTCTTTGAAGAAGTGAAGGTGCTTTGTGTTCGAAGCCAAATGAGAAGACTTGAGAAGTGTTTTGGCGATCTGCATGCCTCGTCTGCCAACTTGGGCATGCTAAAGCCAAGCTCGCTCATCACTTTGACGATTTTCCTCGCTCCAAGTGCAACAATAAAAGAGCTTCTATCACTGCAACAACCAAGCAATTAATTTCCGTCTTCAAATTTGATTTCTGGTGCCTCTCATCAGGTTCAGCCTTGATCCTGATGAATCCTTCCTTTGCTCGATCATTCAGTGCCTCAGCTTCGTTCAGAGATGCTCAGAGCACCAAAGAACGTGGGCAAGACAGCGTCCACCCAAAAACCATTGGAACAGGGTATGATCAGAGGGAAAATGATGGAGCGGGTCTCTAGTAGTCCTCTATGTCTTCCTTGTTAGATGTGCTGGGACTCCCCCGCCAACGAGTCAGCTCCAATGCGCTGCCGTTGGTACGCCACCTCCGCTCGGCCTTTCTCTTGGGCTTTGGCCTGGACGAAGGACGCACTTTGCGACGAAGCGGCACAGTGTGCCATGGTGATTCATGATGATCCATGCTGCTCCGCCCATTACAAATTAGGAACAAGAAGCTACTAGGGGTTCCTGGCATCGCTACTAGGAGCAAGGACGCTACTAGGGGCTCCTGGCCGTACTACTAGGAACAAGAAGCTACTAGGAACATGCTCCGCCCATTGCAATCGATATGTACATAATGTCATCGATTGTTATGGTTACCGCAAGAAGGGACCATATGGAATCATTGTCGAGTCCTAAAGTGGAAGCCGTTCAGCCAGTTGCATTGGGTGAGTGAAGTCTCTTCGCTCTTTCAGATTCAGACCCACCCCTATAGGCCAGGGAATTCTCTTTGTTCTTTTAGCCTACTCAATCTATTCATATCGCCCGAACTTCAACTACAATGAAGCACCAGCCTTGGCTTGCCCTTCTGCAATTTTGAAAACCAAGGCTTGAGTTTGAGCCTCAAGAATCAGACATCTTCTGGACTCTGACTTGATGATCTCAGGACCGCTTGAGAATAACTCTGGGGTGCTGACATCTCTGGATCTTTGAATCTCTTCCCATCTGCGCCTGGCCATAAAGTTCATCCCATTGGATGACGGAATAGATAGACAGGAGCCGTCTTTTCTGCAGGTCTAAATTCCTCAAGCTCAAGAGTGTCTTTGAAGAGTCAGCCAAAGAATGCCAAAGACACTTCTGAAGCTCGCCCCATGTCTTGTATTTCACCTCCAAGGGATACAGAGGCTTACAGAGTGAGAGTTGGCAAAGCTGACAAGTATGGTACTTGCACAAAAAGGGCAGGACATTGTCGGATTCCCACAGCAAAAACCACACGACACCTATAAGACCCAAACGGATCGCCTCTCTGAAGGAATGGATGTCATTGGCACATTTCAGCTTCAAGGCCGCTCGTGCCTGCAATACAGCGATTGCTCGAGCTGCTGCCTAGAAATGGGTGTTCAGCCTACGAACTTGGTTGAATGAGGCCGTGATAAAATACTGAGCTGCTGAGAAAAGAAGCCTGCGAAAAGAGAACAATCTTTATCCCATTCGGCATTGCAACTTGCTAGATCTGCTGGAGTGCTCCGAATTTTGCTTTCGTGAACTTCTGCCGAACTAAAGGACCTTGAACATGTCACCTGCAACTCATGTCACCTGGAAATCCATCAATCACGGGTGGCATGAGTGAATTGATATGAATATGTGTGAATTGGTACAATCCGATTGCGGGATGACTCGATGACTCGCCTCTGATCTTTGTCTGGCAGCTTCTTGTCGAGCGAGCAAGTCAGAGTTGTTCTGTGCACGTCGTTCGGCGCTGTTCGATGTTGTTGGGACGCAGTTGGTGTCGAAGTCTATCAAAGGTGACAGGTCTGAAATGCAACAGCGATATACTCACAACTACTGCTGCTCATCCTAAAATAGTGCAAATGAATGCAAATTACAATACAAGATCTGAGTGATAAGATTTGGGAACCAAAAAATATGAGGTCGGTCAGCAAAAGGCACTCCAGCAATGTTTAGTCCAAGGTGGCCATGCGCCTAAATTCGGCTGGCATCCAAATGCAGTGTCTTGGCAAAACCAAGGAGATGATCGTCCAAGAGGCCAGTCATGTCGGCGTCCGTGCCTGCTCACGTTGGGCGCAAATTCGGGCATAGTTCCCCTTCCATTTAGCCTCGGCCTCACTGTCAGCTTCACCAGCGGCAGGGGTGCCAAAGAATCAGCACATGATGGTTGGTACAAGTTTGCATCCCTTAAAGTGGGCGGGATATTCCTTCAGAGTTCGGCGAGTTCAGAGCTCGTGTGAAACGCAGGGCCTGCTTGCAGAGATCTCCAGCTGATTTGGATCTAGCTTTCATGAAGTCTTGTCCAGCCTCAAACCGCGCAAGGCACAAGCAGCCACGGGCCATTTGAGGCATTTGCATGCATTTGCTGCTTTGAGTTGCTTGGTTCACATCCGCTCGAGCTAGGTCTGCAGCTTGGATGGAATTATCATAGCGAGCCTGAACAATAGGCATTGGACAAAGCTGCAGCTGTATGGTCAACCAAGTCAGTTTCTGTAAGGCAATCTGCCTTGAATTTGGCATGATCCTGCAGCTTCTTGTCCACCCACTCCTGAAGCGAACTTGCACTGGCAAATTTATAACAGATCTTGGTACCACGATCCGACAGAAACCGGCGATGAGTCCTCACTCCAAACATCGGCCCATTCCCATTCACATCCCACCTCCGTGTGTACGTAGATTCTGATTTGTCTCTCCTGAAACTTGACCTCACCATCCCAAGTCGACAACAAAACGACTCAAGATAAGTCCCAATCTAGAGTTATCCTTCTAGCCATTAGCATGGTTTTGGCCCTCCACGCCCTATCTCAAGAAAACATGCTCAAGGTCTCAGGACAGGGCTCTGGATTCTTCAGCCTTTCGCTCGCATTCAGCTTCGATTTCTTCCCTCCGAGCCTGCCGGCATGATAAACTGCCGATCTTGATGCAGAAAGGTCGATTGAGGTAGTTGAAAAGGAACAAAAGAGAACAGAACACAGCTAAACAACCCAAATCATGTACAACAATGGCGGTTCTCTCGTAACATGTCACATGTCAAGCTGGTATCTTGACAGTGTGTGAGTTTGGCTGTCCACTCGTCTCTACTTCATTCTGGAGCCCTAAGGCTGGAGGCCTGCAGCCGCTCTTCAGCTGTCCTGTTGGCTTCCTCAATGCTTGCTAGAAGGGCTGCTTCTCTTTCTAAAGCCTCAACAAACAAGGTCATCATTGCTCACCAAATCTCACTGGTTGCAAAAGCTGTGCCACTTCTCCCACCTGGTCGAAACATCTTTGCCGCTTTCGCCTACCCTCCTCAATGGTGTCCTTGAGGCCTTCCTCAGTCGGAAGAATCATCCAGCCGGTGAGATTGAGAGAAGCCGCAGAAGCCCTGCCTTTGAATACATCTTCGTTCTCGTAGCTCTTGCCTCATAGGGTGCAGGCCGCTATTAGGAGGCACCAAGTGTACAAGAAAGACTCACCCAGGAGATGCCGACGTCTCTTGCCTTGTCGATCCTGGACATCAAGTCATCGTAGGTGTCGTCTTCCCATCTTGCCCGAGCTTCTGCAGCCTTCTTCACGTTGTTTCGCCGCATCTCCTGACGAGCAAACTGCTGTACCTACATTGTGCTACACTATACTACTATACCTTCAAGATACCGGTGTGCCAAAGCCAAACAACATAAAGTTTATCCAATTCTGTTTGAGCTGGGCTGGATGGAGGAGAACATGTGGTTGGCGAATCTGCTACTCACACCTGAATTCTTATAGCGCAAGACATGCTGATCCGTCTTCTCCCAAGTCGGCATCATGCCAAGCTCAAGCCAAACAAACTGTCTAGGCAAAACACAACCAAACAAGGGAGCCTTGCGAGTCAGCACACTCGACCTGCAACCACAATGACCTAGTTTGATTTGCACATGATGAAAATCACGTGTTCATTTTCCTGCGCGAATTCAATTACAGGTGACCTCGCTTGGTTCGGAAGATTTTGCTGTGCATTGCCTTTGCGAGTGAATTTGACCATTCCTCCAGTGGCAAAGCTCTTGCACAGCAAGAGCTTTTCTTTGTTGTCCATTCATTCGTCATGGCTCCCACTTCACACAAATGCATACAGTATGAGAGGCACCTGTGACACGCAGCTATTGAATCTCACCGCACCACCAAAGGGTGGACGCAGTGCATTCGTAACAAACTGATCAACGTCTCTGCGTCCTGTGCTTTTTCGTTCTCTTTCTTGCGTTCTGCGATAGCATCTGCCTGGCTATAACACTTGAACAGGGATTGTGGCAAAGGGAGTTACCAAGTCAACTTGGAACAATTTTGAGTCATGTTAGAGAGCAGGGAAAGCCGACAAGATCAATGGCATTGTATGGCGATTCAACCCTTCCCGAGCAGTGCCTGGGCCTTCTTGTATTCTTTCAGGCGCTGCTCCAGGGCCGCAATCTGTGAACAGTCCAAGCAGCTGCAAGCGGCTAGATCCAAACTAATGAACTTTCCCCAGCAACCTACCCCATCCCCTTTCCAGCCTTTTGGTCTGCCTCATCGAGTCTCTTTTTCTCCTTGGAACGATTGGTAATGGAAAAAACTTAAAGCTGAGCATTGTAGTTAAGGCAACTTCGCGATGTTCACTTTCCCAACTGCGTGCAAAAACATGGTCCCATGGCCAAGCCCCAAGCCATGAGGAAGCCTGAGGCTAGAAGGGCGGCTTTTCGCTGTTGTTCATCCTGGCAAACACGATCCTCCCGGCCACTGATATGGCTTTTACACTGATGTATGGTCCCAAAGTCTTCACATGTATTGGAACTTCTTTCTCTCAAAGCTTTGGGACCACTACGCAAAGCTTCGGGACCAGTCTAGTGTGTGGTCTATACTGGATAGATCCTCTCAGGATTATAAAGAAAACAACGGCTCCATCCGCCACAGCTGTGATCGGGTCCTTGATCTTTTGAAACCTAAGTGCCAGGCAAGGTACACCAACGAAAGAAGTCAAGGAGTCGGCCCGCAAGTAGTCAAGTCCCCTCAAGTCTGCCAAGGGGCGCTTTGTCTCGCATGGCCTCAAAATCGGCCATTCCGTCCAGGCATTCAACCTCAGCTAATGATGCGGAGTTGTTCGTTCACCAATGAGGAAAACAGGAAGACACCTCCCATGTCCTCAAGCTCCTCATGTCTAGCACCTCATGTCTAGCTTCGGCCAAGGAGCTGGAGGGAGGTCTTCCTCCAAAACCTGCCACAGACAGTAGAGGAATGACCAAAACGGGACCATTGGATTGCCACTCATAAATGCTACAATCTTCCTGACCTTTGTTTCCAATGGGGTCTTGCCACATGCCAAAGAAGAAGGCTGCAAACTCAAGATGTGCACCCAAGATGTGCTCACTTACCATCTGCTCAGTGCAGCAAAGCCACGGGACGAACCCCCTCACCTGAGTTCGTCAAACCGGACAAAGCTGAACAAGCTGAGCAAGTTCTCGTTGCGAGATGGCCAAATCCCGGTAACAAAACCAGAAAAACGGACCCTCTGAGGGAACATGCTACGCACATGGGAATAAAAGCTCTGAAAGAAGAGGTCTGGAATACACAGTGTTCAAAAGCCTTGCGCGAATCGTGGTCCACTTCAACCATGGATATAAGGTTCTTTTGGGGCGCACTTCATTGACGTGAATCCACTGTCGCCAAGCCACCAAGTTTCACTTTCAGAACTCGTCGGGCGTCATCGTCAGACAGGACTTAGCTTTTCACTGCAGAGGTGTGCGCGACACACGGAAAGCACCAAACATTGGTAGTTGGGGAAGTTGGGTAATCGTAGCACTTACAACAATTGGTCTCAAAGACAAGACATCGACCTAATCACTTGTTTGAGTGCCTTATAATCTACCTGAACTCTGCTTAGTGCTTCCAACCAACATGCTAGTTCTTAGCAAGCCTGAAACACCAAGAGTTGTAGCGGGGAGTAACGATCTGGGTAATCGGATGCTGTTGGATTGGACAAGACAAGATCCTCAGTGATGTACGTATTGCTTCTCAGGCCCCTGACACTGCAGCCTCTTTTGCACCTCTGTCAACCGAGCCCTTTTCAGGCCCTGTCAGCAACAAGTGCGTTGTCGGCTTCTTTCCATGCAAGCCCGGTGTCTGTGAGCATTGCAATACTAAACTTGCCTTCCCATGAAGCAAGCAACTCAAGGTCACTGCAGTTTCCTACAATATTGGAGAACTATGGCGATCCATCAATCTGAGTTCTTTGCCAACAAACAGATTGTAACAAGCTGCTCGTTGATTCCTTGAAGACGTTACCACCAGAATTATCAGATTGTGAATTAACTTGTGTGGCAGAAACAGCGTTGCATCAAACGCTTAGATAATCTTAAAATACTAAGATTGCTTAATAGTGAACCTTGGCCGATTGGGCCAGCCCCTTCAGGCCTCCCAGACTTCTGACCTTTCGTTGCCGATCTTCCTGGCCTTCAGATCTTCTGCATACTTGCTACCCTAATGCAAAGAAGGCTCAAAGTGGCCCATAGTCATATGATGTTATACATTGTTACACAGTTTGTTTGTTGATACATTACATCAAAAGCCGCGTGATCATGGTCGCATGACATACATAGTCTGCATCTGCATCAGTGTTACATTGTCTGTTCCACAGACAAGCGGCTGAGCACATGTCCAGATATAAATGTACGACAAAGCGTTTTTCAAAGTGTGGTTTTAGCTATGTTTGATTGGCTCAAATTGTCCACAGCATCTACGGTTGTTGGTGGCCTTTTCTGCATCCGGAACTTTGTGTGAGACCTCACATCACCACTCAACAATCTCAAACGGTAGCATGACTTGAACGGCCCCATCAAAGAAAAATTGTTCCTAGTAGCGAACCTTGTTACTACTAGTAAGGCACTTGTTCCTAGTAGCGTGGCACTTGTTTCTACTAGCGTGGCACTTGTTCCTAGTAGTAAGGCACTAACATTGGACAAATATCCATGAAGCTCACGTAAACCTCAGGCCACACTCTTGCAAGTCTTGGATCAGCACCTCAACCTCTTCGTCCTTCGATGGATCAAGATCCTCGCCAAGATGAACACGTGCCACCCCAACCCCACTGCACCAGCAACAAGGGTCCTCTTGATGGGTGAATAATTATGGTGATTACATACCAGGTCGATCCAGTTCGCATGCCTGGGGATTTGAACAAGAAAAACATGAAATATGAAGGTAAGGTCCCCTTCAACAAGGCTTCAAAGGGGGCTTTGAAGGAAGCCAAACAGCTTCCTTTCATCTCTTAGACTTCCTTTAGGACGTTGTCGGACTTCTTGTTATCACATCGCTCGAAAACATTCTGAAACGGATCGCTTCTGAAACGGCCCAGTCCTCGGGCTTTAAGCCGAGCCATGTCATAGTTGCCAGCAGCTTCTGGAGGCTATGCCTCTGAATCGGAGGAGGAAAGAGTTCTTCGGTCACCACTGGTGTCTTCAACGGAAAGCCCAGAGCATGTCATCTCGTTGGGTTTCACAGAAGAAGCTCGAACGAGCTGGGTGCTGGGATATCCAACAATCCAAGAACAGGTTGGTGGGAAGCAACAAGAAACGCATGACTCGGCATTACAAATGTGTGCAACTCTGTGGCTTGTGCAGCAGGGCAAGACATGTTCGCCAGTTCTGTTCTTTGATGTATCAACCGACAAGTGCTATCAACAGCGCTGAGCTGACAAAACCAAATGCTAGGGCTCCCCTGAGGTCCTGGCTTGTTTTGGGGGTCCACAATTCCTTGAATCTTGGCGAGCGTGTCATTCCTGCAGATGAAGAAGCTCGTGCAAAACACGACAACCCGTGACCAAGGCGGCCGAGGGGCTTTCTTTGGCTGGGCCGCACAGAGCCTAGGCAAAAGTCGGCAAAAGTATTCCTTTCCAACAAGAACACTAAAAGGCTATTATACTCCAGTCTTGGCCAATGCATGCGTTAGTCACTTTGGTCTCAACATGTTTCACCTTGTAATGAACGGCTCCAAACTCAGCTTGTGGCCATACTTTCTCGAAGGGAGATGCGGAATCTGATGCATTCAAGTTAATGCAGCATGGATCGCTGCATCCGGTGGGTCAGTAGAGTAGAGTTTGTTTGATCGGATGATTGTTTGTCACACCTCTGCCAACATGGCCACGAGGGTCGCGCACCTGAAAAAGTGCAAAAAGAAACACATCAAATCCCAGCACAGCCAAGCAGCGCCCGCCTGTGGCAAGCGCTCCAAATGTACAACGCGGGCAGCCCTTTGGGCCCGCTGAGCCATAAAACGCGTTTCAGAAAGTGCAAGAAGTACTGCAAGAAAACTTATAACAGACTGACAGACTTCAATGATCTTCCAGTCCTCTCAACGAAGTGGAGTTCTCTCAAAAACTTCAAACTTGACCAATGAAGGAAGGGAACATTGGCCGAAGCACGTCTCATCCACATTATCCTGCGCCTGAGTGCCCTCGCAGCCAGGCCATCTGCGAAAGCTAATGGGGTCCTCAAAGTGGCTTTGCCCTTACTTTTATCAAAGATCCCACCGGAATCTGGCCAGCCCAAACACAGGCAACAGTATTTTAAATGTCTTGTCCAAACTGGTCGAACAGGATCCAACGAGTTTGTCTTCTTTGTTCAAATCAAAGGCAATCTGTCTGAAGGTTTCTATCATATGTTCCTATTGTGTATCAATCCGTCGCTAAAAGCCTAAGGCACCGGCATCTCTGATACTCTCGATGGAGATTGCTCCATATCGCCGGTCATACCGAAGGTCCTGCAAAAAAGGCCGAATGCGCGCTCAACCGGGAAAAAATGGCTCGTCCTGAGGCGTGACTTGCGAGTTCTGGAACTTATCATTTTGCTTGCTGCAATTTTCCTGAGAGTTTGATGGTATTGTACACACTGCGCCTAAACTCAAACGCAGTGCATGGCTCAATGACCTCTTTTGCGACTAAGAGGTTCATGGTATACTGTATATTATATATATATATATTACACATACATATATATATATATGTCTGGGATGAAATCGAGCAGGCTGTGTGCGCCAATGACCACCGCAGTGTTCGGATTGAGTTCTGAAGAGACTACTGCAGTCGTGCGTGAATTCGTTCCTTCAATTCTCACATCCCCACTGAGGAGCCCGCCGCCAAATAGTCGAATGACCTGCCCACACATGGCAACGCTGCGGGGAAATCGCATGAAATCTCGCAACCAAAGTCCTAATAAGGACCAAAGATTGGCTGAGAACTATAGATTATGATTGGTTTGATCTTCAGGACCTTAAGTGGCGATGTCAAAGCTTGTGTGTCCGTCTGGAAGGGCCATCTGAATGCACTCCGTAACATGGGTCTTAAGATCCATGTTACGCCACCGTAGGGTTTACCGTAGGTATATATTACCGTATAAAACAAAAGATTCTCTCAACGAAGCACATGTCCTTTTGCACACCATGGAGGTCCGGAGGAGTGCATTGCAACGCCGAAAAATGAACCACACGTGGGACGCCGAAGCTTGGCCGCACGCCGAGGCTTCGTATCTCGGGAATCTTGGCTTCAGGCTGATGTGGTCGGGCGTAGTGCCGCCGCCACTTCGTTTTGAACTCATTCTGATGCAACCTTGGTGTTTTCTGGAACTCAAGAGTGAGTGCTCTCTTTTAGTTTCTTTCTTTTTGCATGATGAACTCTGATTGATGTAGCCGCGTTTCTGTCATTCCCTCAGGCCACGTGACCCGTTGCGCAGGTTCAGCTGCCAATCCAATTTCGGTGCGGCGCCAGACGAGACTCTCACAAGGCCATTGCACCTCGGCAGGAAAAGCAGTGATGACTCAGATCTTGGGGTCGTTTTTGGTGGTTGTGCGTCACCAAACAACCCCCGAAAAGACCTACAGCTATGGGCAAATTGAACGTTTAAGCTCGGGCCTGCCTTCACGTGCATCACCCAAGAATTCAAGACATGTACAGCATTGATCAAAAACACCTGTGGTTTCTGAGCAAATTTGAATCGCTTCCAAGTGACATGTGCGCCGAATTGGCGAAGTTCTGGTACTTCCCCAAAGACTGACTCTCACCAAGGTACCTCAGCTGGTCTCTGTTGGATTCCCGCTTTGGGAAAGAAAAAGAACAACCTGTCAATGGGACGAAAAGAATAGCTAATTGACCAACTCCCGAGTCTGAGCCGCCGTCGGGCCCTCAGGATGCTCCGGAGCCAAAGGTTCTCTCTTGGTTCTGCCTAAGGCAATAACGAAGCAACCAGCGCAATGATAGTCAGCGAAACACAAGCTCGCAAATCTGACACCACCAGAAGCCCAACAAAACACATTCAAATGTTCACAAACAATTCCTAATGACAAGTGATAGTATCACTGTATCACTGCCAAACAAATACCAAACAAAGACTACATCGACATAGAACACAAAGCAGGGAACAAAGAAAGCAAACACCAGCAGTGGTTCTCCGTCAACCCGGTTCATGCGAAGCAATGCCCAAGGTTCAGTACTATGTAATTTGCATAGTTGATTGATGCGAATCGTAACTTAAGTTTACAAAGTTGTAAGTTTACAAAGTTGTAAATGTACATTAAATTTGCATTAATCTCTTCAGCAAACATTTTGCAAACTTACGTGCTGTTGCGCTCACTTTTGCGCATCGTCTGGGCTCCGTCGCTTTCTTGCAATTCTGCAGTATGCAAAGTCGGTGCGGATGCAGAGCTCTTCAACTGGTGCAGGCTTGGAAAGGGTCCAGCCTTCACTCTCTCTCTCTCTCTCTCTCTCGAATTTTACAACAGTGTACATTGAGTATTGGATACAAATGGATGCAAGATATCTAGAGTGCACATGCATCCCCGTGTCTGTCTATGTCTGCGATTGGGGAGCCAATGCAGTAGCGATTGTTCGACATAATGATTGTTCGACCATGTTCGACCGCCTGGGCAACACTTATTCCGTGCAAAAAAACATATATATATATATACATTACATGTGTACATCACTACTGTTCAGAGTACCTCCCAGAATT